CTTGTAACCATCTCACTGGCACATTATTGAATGTTTTTTTGGAAATAAGTGTGTTATGTCTGCTTGTTCCTTTTGACCATCCTCCAGGTTACATCCTCAAAAAGCTCCAATAAATGGATCAAACTGTACTTTCCCTTCTGTCTCAGCCAATACAGAAACATCACGGTAAGAACATCCAATCAATGGTTTTAAAAACTAGACACAAACACCCTTTAAGTTGGCTGCTGCAATGTGTGTGACCTTTGACATTTGAGCTTCAGACAGTACCACATGTGAAAGCAAACCCTAATCAAATATGGGCACACATTCCCACACCTCTCTGTTTAAGGCTGGGTCAACACAAAATGACAATGGAATCTCCTGTCTGTCTGTAAGGTTCATCCTGACCAAAAGGGGAGATAAGAACTCAATGACTGGCAGGCAAGAGTGAATGGACACTTTTAAGATGATAGTTTCTTTCAGATCAGATGGGGTGAACCTCAGAATTATTAAGCTGCAACACAGGACGTTGGAATAAACTCAAACACTACAGCGCTCCTTAGAGAGCTATTCTCACCGCATCCTGAGATCCACACTCAGTGCCATGCTCATTCTGTACCTCTTTCTCCATCAGCGCCACCTCATGCTGTCCTGATCCTGGTTTCACTTCATTCTCGGGCTCATTCAACATTCTAACAAGAAACTTATTCTCTTCCTTTCAAGCTTCGAGGAACGCAAGCTGAAACAACTCTGAGAGACCTACACCACTCTGGCACCTTCCTCCCCTACCCCATTCCCTCTGACTCCATCCATTCTCCTGATGCCACTACTTGTAGGGTATTTACTATTCCCTTCTGACCTTCTGCTGTCCGATGCTGAATGTTCTGTATTCCACAAAAGTCTGAGTTTTAACCCCCTGCACCTCTATCCCAAAGATTTTTGGGCACAACATGACGTTGAACTTTTCTTCCATTGTCTCTGTGCCCATTTCTTTGGATTTCTCTCCTGAACCACAGACCCCTTCACCCATCAACACTTTCCCTCCACCTGGACTCCTCCCTCTGGCTCATTGAGAACTGTTGGTATGCCATCAGTCACCTTAATTTCTCAGCCTTGTTACCCACTGGAACCTATCTCCTTGTGAACTGACTGTACTCCGTGTTCTCAAATCCATCCCTGAATTTGTCATCAAGCCTGCTGACAAGGGTGCTGCTATTGTAGTTTGGCATACTGATCTCTACATTGTGGTGGCTGGGTGCCAGCTCTCGGACACCTTCTCCTATCGCTCCCCCCCCCCCCCCCCCCCCCACCCCAGACCATGATCCCAGCATTAGCCTGTTATGTCTACAATGGTCACCAACCTTATCTCATCTGACAGCCTCCCAGCTCATTGTGCCCAGCCTCGTAGAGCCCCTTGCCTTTTCCCCAAAAACCTCACACAGGACTGCCCAGGTAGTCTCATTGTTTCTTCTTGTTTCTGACCACAGAAATTATATTTTCCTACCTCAACTTGATTTTTCTCTCCACTTGTCCAGTTCCTTCCCATTTACATCCATGATTCCTCTGATACTTGACATTAGTTTCAAAACTTCCAGTTCACTGGCTCCAGCCTCCTCCTCTTTACAATGGATATGCAATCCCTTTACACATCCACCCCACGTCAGGATGGTCTCAGGGCTCTCTGCTTCTTCCTGGAGCAAAGGCCTGAACCGACCCCATCCACCACCAGCCTCCTCTGCCTGGCTGAGCTCGCCCTCACTTTGAACAACTTCTCCTTTAACTTCTCCCGCACGGGCCCCAGTTATGCCTGTCTGTTTGATTCAGGAGGAGATAGGATGAGGTGTCCAAGAGCCTGTCTCTTCGTGGAGTACGTGGAACGTTCCTTGTTCCAGACCTATCCCGGGTCCCACCCACAACTCTTTCTCCAGTACATCAATGGCATCAGTGTTACAATTAATTTGTTAAGTGTGGGAGAACTTTCTTTATTTTCAAACTCACAAAGGCTTGCTTCTGGATAATTCAATTAGGTGCCACAATTAAACACTTTGTGTATTTTTGATCTTGTTATTTAAGGAAGGAAGTAAATGTGTTGGAGATGGTTCAGAGCAGTTTTATCAGATTGATACCTGAAATGTGAGCTTGTTTTCGTTGCATTTTAGAAGGGCAAGAGGGGCCTTGTTTGAAATGTATAAGATCCTGAATGGTCTTAACCAGTCGGATGTGGAAAGGACATTTTCTCTTGTGGGTTGATCCAGAACTAGGAGCTTAAATTGGTGGGGGTTGCCCTTTCAGGACAGAGTTGAGGCGAAAGTCTTTCTCTCCAGGAGTTCTTGAGTTTGGAACTCTATCAGAAGACAGCAGAGATGGGGATCTTTGATTATTTTTGGATGGATTCTTGTTAGCCAGGGGAATCAAAGGTCATCAACAGTCAGTGGGAATATAGAATTCATAACTCTAACAGGCCAGCAACTTCTCATTGAAGGCAGAGAGGGCATGAGGGGCCAAATTGCCTACTCTTTGTAATGTTTAATCCAAGAGTAAGAAAACAGACCCCTTTCTTGTAACAAAACATACAGATTGCTGTCAATAAGGGAACACCTAGCTTCTGTCTATGATATCTTTGTAAAACCATGTGCTCCTTCAAAATACTTCCAATCATTTGCCCACTACCAAGGTCAGACTACAGTCACTACGTGGCATTTTCCTTCCTTCAATTTTAAACAACCATGAAGTGTTATTAATCCACCAGTTTTCTGGCACCAGGTCTGCAGGCAGAAAGGATTGGAAAATAATCCCTAGCCCTCTGCCGTTTGGGTAAATTTCATCCTGGCCTGGCAATTTATCTGCTTTCAAAGATGCTGAACACCTTAATGTTTATGCCAGCCAATATTTCAAATTCCTCCTTAGCTGCGGTCCTTACATTGTCTCCTTCTTTTGTGATGGCAGATGTAAAACAGTCATTGAGAACCATAGCTATGTCTTCCACCTCGCACACAGGTAACCTTTGCAATCTCCAATCAGCCCCCCATTTGCCTTGGTTATCCTTTAGTTCTTGAGACATTTATAAAGCATCTTTCGGTTTGTCAAAGCAAGTTCCAGACTGACACCAGGAAAAGCTTTATCATACAACGTGGACAGAGCACCAGGGTCCTGGGTTTGATTCCACCCTTGGGTGACTGTCCATGTGGGGTTTGCACATTCTCCCCGTGTCTGTGTGGGTTTCCTCTGGGTGCTCTGGTTTCCTCCGGGTGCTCTGGTTTCCTCCCACAGTCACAAAGATGTGCAAGCTAGATGGATTGGCCATGGGATATACAGGATTACTGGAATAGGGTAAGGGGGCTTGAGTCTGGGTTGAATCCTTTTTGGAGAGTTGGTGGACTTGAATGGGCTTAATAGCCTGTTTCCATGCTGTAGGGGTTCTGTAGTTCTATACAAATTGTGGTTGATATTTGAGTGGGTTTTTTGGTTAGGGTGTTGAAGGAATAAGCTCTGAAATGATTCTAAAGGAAGTAGGTGTTGTGATGATAGCTAAGGATCTGAAGCCCCATCAACCCAAGGGCCTCTGACCTTCTGCATTGATCTGCTGCAGCCAAGAGTCTAGTTCAGTCAGTCGGGGAGTTCTGAACTGGGAGCAATATCTTCAGATAAAGGTTCGGAGTTGAATTGAGAGAAAACATCTTCACTTTGAAGGTGGTGAATGTTTGGAATTCCTTGTTTTGGTAAGGCATGGATGCTTAGTCTGATGTTAAGACTCTGATCACATCTCAGGATTTTTTTGTCATTAAACAGATGAAGGGAAAGGGGCAGACAAGTGAAATTCAGGCACATGACCAGGTGTGTTTCCTTTTCAAATCAGAAATCACATGACACCTGGTTATAGTCCGACAGGTTTTATTTGAAATGACACAAGCTTTCTGAGTACAGCCCCTTTGTCAGGTGCAGTGACAGTGACTCCGAAAGCTTGTGGTTTCAAACAAACCTGTTGGACCATAACCTGGTGTCGTGTGACCTCTGACCTTGCCCACCCCAATCCAACACCGGCACCTCCACATCTTTTTAAAATCGTGGAGCAGCATTGAGGGACCGAATGGCCAACTCCAACTCTTCAAAGGATTTGAAAAGATACCAAATTTATTGTTCACCCTGTTCTGTTACACTTTTATATCTTGTGGACATTTTAATGACAGATGGGAATCACCTTTGTTCCAACTGGGAATGTAGGGTCCTGCCAAAATCTCCTGTCACCTGGAATATGTACAGGTCCAGCTCCAGTCCAGGTGAGGCAGGCTGACTTTGACTTTGAACTCCTGACCTTGTGAATGTGAGTGAAACACAGCCACCAAAGCAACTTAGCAAATGCAATGGAAACACTGATATCTTAGTGTTTGTGTTCTGCAAGATACTAAACTGAAAATATATCCAAAAGACTTTTAATGAAGAAGCCATGCTGTTCAGAACAATCTTGTGCGAGCCACAATAAAGAAAAAAAATTGCATTTCTATGTTATGCCCTAAATAATTTAGAGACGATATATAAATAGCACAGATAAGTTCAATAGCTTCTACTCATGTTATGAGCCTCAGTTATAATACTGTTGTTAGTGATGATATTGTAGAAAAATAACACATTTGGAGCAAAGTTCTTTCAGTTATGGTAACAGTGACAACATATTCTTTATTTTCAATGTATCCGTACAAAATCATCCATGCCTAACTGTTCCTCAGAATACTGATGGATCTTGGATGCTGACTTTGCCACGTGACATACCACTTTATCTTTTCACTCTATACTGTGTGATATTCACTGGAACACAGACCTCATTGTAACACAAGAATTTTGATTCTTCAGGATTCTGTTACAATTAGATTAGAATGTACTTTGTTTGCCTCTGACTTGCTAAATGTGTATTTAAAGGATTAAACAATTCCAAGAGCTGGGTTTTGAAGTTATATTGCTGATTGCTATACTTATACTGCCTTTTGATTTCATTGTGTGTAAGTCTAAAGGGGGCTGATACTTACAATGCTAGGGCCTTTGATGGTTTCTCCTGTGTTGTGGGTGAAACTGCCACTGTGACTCGTAGAGACAGTGTTCTGTTTCTTATTGCTGTGACCCATGGCATCCATCGACTGGCTTCGACTTCTAATCACCCGCTGAATAAGAAAGGGTTAATCAGTCATATAGAGACAAAAAAACTGCAGATGCTGGAATCCAAGGTAGGCAAACAGGAGGCTGGAAGAACACAGCAGGTCAGGCAGCTTCTGGAGGAAAGGAGCAGGCAATGTTTCAGGTATTACCCTTCTTCACTTCTTCAGTTCCTCAGTTCGGGTAATACCCAAAACGTTGACGGCTCCTTACCTCCAGATGCTGCCTGGCCTGCTGTGTTCTTCCAGTCTCCTGTCTGCCTACCTTAATCAGTCATATGTCACGTTTTACGGATTGTCTCGAATTACGTTAATATGGATAGCAGCAGCTGTATTTGGAGAATGAGAAAGTCATCTAATCCCCATTTTTTACTTCTTCGAAACAAAGGTGAATGATTTATCCAGTGTTAGGAATTTACTCTGAGAAAGTGGCACGTCAGACCTACATTTAGTTAAGAACGATTATCATTATCTTTGACGATCCATGCAGAATGTTGCGAGTGAAGTCTTTATTGGAAGTCCACGGGCTTAGATTCTAGAGCTTTATATAATGCAGAGACGTCAGAATGGTCAAGATCTTCTTTATGCTGAAATACTGTATTACCCCTTTGGTTGACAAAATGTACCCATTCACTGAACTGCACCAGTTTCCAAAAGTAGACATTCCATTATTGCCCGCTATCTTATTCCATACCAGCAGTCAGGTTCAATGGTAGCCCAATATTTACTTAATAATACCTAGAGACCTTTTAATTAACTCAAACTTCAGTTTTATGGGGCTCTATAAGCAGCTGCAATTCAGTCTCTCTTTTACTCGCCAAAGTCCTGATAGTGACTCTTTAAAGTAAATTTACTTAATTATGGAAGAACTTTTTCTGCAAATATCACCATGCCAGCAGGTATTTATTTCTGTTTCAGGTAGCACAGTGAAGTTGAAACATCGTCCTGGCTTTTTAATGCTCCTGCTTCCTCTCGTCCTCAAGCTGCATGTCTGTAGCCTATTGCCATGCTCCAAGCCTCCAATCCAATGCTAATTTCAAAGTATGTGGTTCTAGCATTTTAAATTTGTTTATTTCAGGGTTTACTCACACACATGCATCTTGCTGGGTTGCAATAAATGTAATAAAAGAGCTTTATCGACGTCGGCCTCAGCTCCCTTACATTTCCATTTCTGCTTCATTCTTAAGTAAGTGTTTCAGATCCCTGAACACTACCTCTTGACCATTCTCGCTCTGCTCCTCATCTCTCTAAACTTTGTTACTTTCACGGATCCCGCTGAAACAGTAAGACAAAGCTGGCCTCTGCTTGATATCAAGCACTGATATCTTACACTGACCCCCCGCAGTTTCTATATCCTTTAAAGTAGTGATTTTATAAAGTATATTCTATTGAAAAATAACATTTTATTTCCACCTTATTGAAGCCAATGAATATATAATTTTAAACTAATAATGAGCAGAACTGCTGATGGTATTTCTCGTGGAATAAAAGGGGCAGCATCCACTGAAAGCCCAGCCAATGAATTAAAATGAGATTTAATTGGTTAATGCTGCCACATTACATCTGTCATTATGTCAGCTGGTGAACATGCTTTTCTATGAACAGTGGGGACTGGAATTTTATTGGAAAAGTTTCGGAGCACAGATCTTCCTCATCAGTTTTGATACTTCGAATACAGCCGAGCTCCCCGAGACTCAATCTGTCAAATTAAATACCAAAAGTTACCAATTTCTATCATATGAGAGCACATATTCCAGGTCCTCTATGTAAAACCAATTTTGTTTCAGAGTTGATCAGACTTCTTTTTCAAAATTGTAACTTACACTCATGATGCTGGAAGGCAATGATCTCTGCTACTGATGCATTTCAAGCTTGAAGTAGTTCTCCATGCAACAGACAAAACAATCACAGCTATATAACCTTATCATTGGTGAGCACAGTCTCCTGTATGATGGAAGGGTGGTGAGACTGTAAGCTGATTGTGAAAAGGCAATCTCTCATCTTTACAAGGCAGCTGCTAAGGATCTGATAACTTTATTTCAACACAAAAGATGCTTTGGCAAATTGATCTTTGATATCCAAAGACATTTTTCCTTTACATAAACTTTTGGAGGTGATTTGCAACTATGAATTCAAATTGTCTAAATTGATAAACTATCCAAATTTGAGGTTTTAGAGAACAGTGTTTCTCTAGCCGACTCTGAGACAGAGATGATCTTACTGATCCATTTTCAGAACAATCCTTGCTAGAAGTCAGGTACATGTATACCTGTTGCACGACATCATGACTAGACATGTATACACTCATCAACAAGACTCAACCACATGCATCAGATCACCAGGGAGGTATAAACTCATATGCAAGTTTGATAAACTATCAAGGAGATTAGTTTTAGGTGCTCTTGATCATAACGGTGATCAAACAGACATGTTTTCACTAGACCGTGAGGGAGATCAAAGAGATGCAGCCTCTGCAAGAACCAGGGGGTAGAACCAAAGGAAGCTCAGGCAAGTACATACAAGTGAGTAACCAGTACTGCATGCACTGTCTTAAGCACCAAGGAGATCAGATGCAAACACGCTATAGACCAGGACAGCTCCGGCACACACAACAAACAGACTGATGCACATAAAAGGCAGATGCAACATGTGCACCTCCCTAAACCAGTAGGGAATTGAAAATCATTCACTGCCTACAGAATTGCAAATATATTAAAGCACAATTCAGAACTGAGTTGTCAAAACTTTATATCTAATGGGAAGTCTAGAGCAAAATACATTTTTTGTATTAACTATTAATATCACATTAATTAATAATCTAATTCAGACAGTTGAATAAACAAGACTTTTGGGCATTAAACTGCATGTAATGTTATCTATCAAATCTTCACATTAAAATTATTTTAACTCAACTTCACTTATCTTGAGAGTATTGTATTTTTATTGAAAGAAACACTGCACCAAAAGTGACCTCAAGCATTTATAGGAAAGAGAGATTTATACAATTAATAAAAAAGACAAGACTGAATGGCTCGGCATCAAGATCAAGGCAGTGTTTACACAGCAATTCAGTTTAAGATATGGATACATTACTCTGTTCTACTTAATTTGTTTTCAGCTACAATTCGGGAGAACAAATGTTTCTAAGTGATCCATTATTCCATTTCTAATAACCATAATTAAATATTCAGCAACATTAGTTTTACATTAATTTAAACGTTCCATCGATATTTGTAAATTCAGCTCTGTGCACTGTTTCAGTGGGGGTTCTGTCTAAATACACCATGCGATATAGGGAACAATACCCATTGATACAATCAGCTTGTGTCTCATTGCAGAAGGGAGCAGCATCAAGCCACTACTGACTGTATATACAAGCCACAATATTACTGACAAAGTTCTTGCTTTAAGTGTCAGGTGTAATGCTGCATGAAACGGGTCTGGTCTCAGTCCAGTTCCTGCTGTTTTCAGACCAGGGCACAAGACTCTTCAATCAAGCACTAATTGTTTCTAAATTAGCAATCTTAGAGATCATAAGAATTTTATTGTCAGAATTGGAAGAGACAAATATTTTCCTGAGGGTGATTATAAAGGCAGCAAATGTTTGCAATGTAATTAATTAGTCAGAAAAAGAGTAGTAGGGGCTGTTGTGGCACAGTGGTAGTGTTCCTACCCCTGAGCAGGGAGGCCTGAGTTCAAGTTCAACCTGCTTCAGTGATGTCATAACAGGTCTGAGCAAATTGAAGTGGTCTGTGAACCAATGTACAGCTTTGCTAATTTCCAGGATGTGTGGAAATAAGCCATTTTTTCAAAATAACAAAGTTGTTCTGACTTTAAGTGAGTGAGAGTAGGTAGCCCCTCAGTTAACTTTTACAGAGGGTATCCTAATAGTAGTGCCTTGTAATAGAACTGCAGACCAACTTCACAAATGATAAATCTTTAATTTCCTAAATCAAATGGGAAAAACTCCATCCTTCTCCGTTACATCCCTTACTCTGTCAGGCCCTGGGAGAGATCTGGACTTCGTACAATTGTTTAAAATAGATTATGACAGCAGTTTGCTTCATATATGTCATGGTCTGGGGGTTACAGGGGGTGAACAGGCAGCCAAATGAGATAGCCTAGGGCTTTGGACAAATGTAATTCAGGAGAGGTTAGCACTTGCAGGGGAAGGCACAGCAAACTGCGACAAATAATTAAAACATTGATGTTTGGAGTGGACTGCCAGCAAAGGAGTGACAACTAACAGGCCGAACCTCGGAGACTATTACTGAGGGGGTGAGAAATACTGACCTTGACAGTGATGCCTGAATCCTGCTGGTGACCAACAAAATATCGATGGGGGAAGGAAAAGCATATTTGTGGAAGAAATTCACAAACTTGCCATTTTCAAGCATAACTGCTGTTGACTTCACTCCTACTTATGCAGCAGCTCCTATAGCTCCCAGACACAATGCTTGGACAATGCCAAAGGTTTCTTATTGTACAATATTACTGATCCATACATGTTTGCAACTGTAATGTCTAACAGTGAGCCTGAATAGCTCAGACAAGAGAAACAAAAACATTGCATAGTGGCCTCACATTGTGCACGGAGACATTTTAAAAGGAGGATCGAATGTGTTCACTGGGACATTATCACTGGTTGGTCAATCACTTCCTTCCCAGACTCATGGATAAACATTGTAGAAATGGAGCAGGAACAATTTTTCCTACAAGATGAAGATTGTGGGTAAAGCTTTAATCTAAATCATCCATTGGGAAACTGAGACAATTGGGTAAATTGTTTTTATGATGTGGCTGAAGTTACTCTCTGCTGATGTGTCATTTTGGATAAGGTGTAAAATTAGTAAACTACAAATCCTGTGGATTTCTTGCTCACAGTATTAGGTTAGAATTACCCTCAATACATATCTTTAGATGCACACATCTCAATTCTGGTAAAATGTGTATGTAAACATTATAAGTAAATGCCAGAATAATTGAAATTGAAACACTCAATACTTCATGAGTGTTTACATTAGCTGTAATTCCCTTCTCTGTGTAAAGGACAATAAAGAGGTGGAATGGATGATTTTATTCAGTTGGGTGATGTAGACTGTGGTATCACTTACAGTATGTAACACCTCAGTACTCAATTGTCTGGTTTTGGATGCAGCACATAATTGTAAAATTGAAAATCACATCTATAATGTGGCGATGTTAATGGCATGTCCATTTTAAGGTGAAGCAGATACAGGGGAAGACATTGATTAAATATCTTAAGCACATATAAAGAGAGACTTCCAGGTGTTGTTGGGGAGGAAGCAGACATTACATTCTTTTAAGAAATCTAGAGTGAAGTAAAAGATCAGCGTCTGGTTTCCTGCTTCACCATCTGGATTCAGAATACCTGATTAGCTCTATATTCCTGACCTTCACCTGATTACTCTGCTGTTCAAGGTCCAGTAAAACTGTAAAACCGTTTTATTAACAAACGAAGGAAAATCTTCTTCCGAATGTTAACATTTGTAAGTTGCAAATAGTAGGGATGCATTGAAGAGAAGGTTAGACTAGAATATGAGAAAGGAGGGAAGAGTGTGTTACAATGGTAGAAAAAAAGATGAGGAAAAATGGGAAGGGGCTGGAATGGATCATGGACTGGTTGAGCTGAATGGCATGTTTCTCTGCCTATATCCTACTTATCCTATCTTCTTACCACCAAGATAGATGGTGGGAGACAAGATACAGAACAAAGCACGACTGGATGGGCATCAAAAATTAGAAAACATTAAAAGTGAAGCACGTTATGAGAAATTTGAACAGGGAGAAAACAATAGGACATAAGGATCAGAGAAAGGTAAATAGGCTAAAATAGCTCATTTAGATATTTTTCTAATGTTTGTTTTAGTTAGCTGGGTAATATTACAGTAATAATGCTTTTCCTGATACACAAGTAGCTGTATTGCTTTTATATCAGGGATACTGCATAATTAAAACTTACAAAAGTGGAAAGTTGAGAGATCCAAGAATTTTCCTGGACCTGGCCAAAGAGTTAAAACATAGACATGTGAAGTAGACACATGGTTTGTTTACAATACTTCATGTTGACAATCTTTGCTAGAAGGTGAGCTAAATAAGTAACTTTTTTGTTGATAATTCAATGCTTTTTAACCATATATCAATCACACATTATAGTGACTCTACATTACAATGCACAGTTAATTTTCAAAGTCTTTTGGATGTTGCAATAAAGCAGTGCTTCAAGAATAGACAGAACATCAGCTAAATTTTCTAATTTCTTCATTATAATGAAAAGAAAAACATCATGCAATTGTCAAGGGAGAAAATTTTTCACTTGCAAGAGTTAATCAATGAAAGTAATAGGTTTTCACATAATTACATTAAGTTGTGTAATCAGATTCATAATCTGCATCATCAATGCAAATTTAAAAAATATCAGCACCACTGAAACATTGTTTTGTAAATTCATGGAAGAATATTCACGGCAATTTTAAATTAAGCAAAATAATATGAATAAGCTATGTAAGTAAACAAAAGTAATTGCATGTGAACCTAATGAAGTGCATTTGATAAAAGGTGACATTACCTTAAAGGATTCAAAGAAACCTCCTCCTCCTCCACTCCCTCCATTCTCAATCTTTTCATCCTCGTTGCTAAGGCCCATCATTGCCTGACTGTTTACATGGAGCTCTTCGTAGAGAGTCTCCAGCAGGGCTGACCTGGTCCGCTCCTTGATTACATGTATAGAAAAGTTAGTAAATAAATTCAACATCAAAGACAAACTGCACATGGTCAAAGTTACATGCCAGTGACTCAAACCTTTGTTATTCAATGTGATTGCCAAGCTAGATCACTAGTCAAGGTTCTGTCATAAAGCTCAGAGACATCTATGTCTTTGTTTGGGAAAATCGGTGCTGTACCTTGTGCTGAGAGTATGTTTTGATATGTACATCAGTTTCAGAGGATATCACAGCATGTTCCTCGATCAAGCCTGGCTAACTCAGCCATCACATTACATTTACCCAAAAGCGCCTCGTCCATTATCTGAAGTCATATGTGAGTCAGTGATTAACTATAAATATTGATACTGATGCTTTGTACTAAAAGTTGCAGATCCCACTCCACAAAGGAGACAAAATGCATTCTTTGCGAGATGTTAGCTCAGAACAATCTTTCCACATCTACCCTGTCAAGTCCTCGGAAGCCTGTACATTTGAATAAGGCTGCCTTTCATTATTCTAAACGTCAATGAATTCCTCTAAACCTGGAATCAACCTAGTGAGCCTTCTCTAGGCTGCCTCCAATGTCAGTATACCTTTCCTGATGGAAAGGGACCAAAACTGTTCACAGGATTCAAGTCGTGATTGGATTAGTGCTTTGTATAGTTTTAGGGATTGTATACCTTTTTATTTTTATATTCCATTCTCTTTGAAATAAAGTCCAATTGTCCATTTCCCTTCCCTATTACCTGCTGACCCTGTGTGTATTTTTAATCATGTTATGACACAGGTCCAGAGCAGGAGGAATTTAAACCCAGATCCTCTGGCTTAAAAAGGTAGAGATACTAGTTCTGAGCCACAGGAAACCTCTGCTGAACCTGTATGCAGCTCTCTCTTCAAACTCTGCAGTTTTTCTTTTCAAGTAAACATGTAATTGCAAGTTTTAAAAATCATAAAATACAAGTTTCATTGAAGGATTTGGGTGATCCTGTATGTTTTCAATTGAAATGCACATCACACTTATGAATAGTTGAAGGTAATAGTTTATAGTGGATACTTTAAAGAGTCCCTTGCATTATAAGTCAGGCTTTCAGTTCACTGTCAGAGCACAGATACACACACATTATGTACGATCTGTCCACGGCACTATAAAATATTCCGACCTTACCTCTAATTTAGCAAACTTTTCTGCCTTATAGCAAGCATATTCTGCATTAATGAGTTTTGTGAGCAAGAACTCCTGAAATTCAGGACCCTGGTAAAATATGAAAATAAAATAAAAGAGCACAGCTGAATATACCTAGAGGAGAAATGAAATAATTTACTATATAACTAAAAAACTCTTTAAAAGTAAAACATCGCATTGAGCTCAAAGAAGTATATCATTGACATATTCGCCTTAATATCAAAGACTGAAAACTCAGAAATAGGATTTTATCCATCTCACTGTCCCCACTGCCCATGTTGCAGTGCCTTGCTCTATATCTCATACATTTCCCCCTAACACATGGTTGGCAGGTGATGTGATAGTGAGAGTGGTCCAATGGAGAACAGGCTGCAGAGGACAGCAATGTAATTAATAAATATCACGCCTGGGGGTAGAATCATAGACAGTGATCTTCTTGGTATACTCATGGATGTGGACATTGTGGGTAAGGACATTTCTTGCCCACCCCAAATTGCCCTTGAATTGAGTGGCCACGTCATTTCCAAGGGTATTTAAGAACCAACCACATTGCTGTGGGTCTGGAGTCACATGTAGCCCAGACCAGGTAAGGATGGCAGTTTCCTTCCCTGAGGGACACGAGTGAACCAGATGGGAGTTGATGAGAGTTTCATTGTCACCATTGCTGAGACTGGACGGCAATTCCAGATTTATTCATTTGTTCCATTTTGAACTCCACCAGCTAACATAGTGAGATTTGAACCTGTGTCGTCTGGGTTACTAATTCAGTGACATCATCACTGCACCACTGTCTCCCCAATTTCAATCTAAATCCTAGTGTCCTTTGCTCCACCATTGATGGCGTCTTCACATAGAGGGAGGGAGAGCGAGCGCGAGAGCGAGGGGAGGGAGGGAGAGCGAGCGCGAGAGCGAGGGGAGGGAGGGAGAGAGAGCGCGAGAGCGCGA